TCATAGACAGATGGACAGAACACGGCCAAAAAGCCCGAAAAACCGCCAACAACCATTAGATCCCAGCCGTGAAAGCCTTTGCAAATACACCTTGAATCCATACACATGGGTCGGGGTGCGTCAAAGCTTCCGTGTTGATCAAGACTGTCTTTCTTTGGTGGCTCTTCTGCCAATCCAGAGGCTACTGCCTCCCCCATGTTGGGAATCCCCAGCAGGGCTGTGGCTCTTGTGCAAGCCAAGGGGGAGGGAGGTGTGTGTGTGTGTGTGTGTGTGTGTGTCAGGGGCCAGCTGGCCGCAGGCAGGGCTGCGAGGGGCCCCCAGCCATGCACACTCAGTGGCCGCCTTCCTCTCTCAGGAGCCACAAAGACGCTGGATGTCATGCAAGAGGCGAAGGTGGACCGGTTTCCCGCGGAGGAGTGCAACAGCACCAGCTGGTACAACGGGGACATCCGGGAACACAACCTGTGCGCAGGCTACGAGAAAGCAGGCATCGACAGCTGCAAGGTAAGGCTCGCCAGCCGGACCACCGGGTGGGGGGGGCAAAACCCACCCCTTCCTTATTTTGCCTTATCTGTAAGGCAAGTTTCCATCCTGCCTTTCCTCCCAGGTAATGTTCCCCCCCACCCACCACTTTTTAGGCTCGTGACAACCCTAGGGGGTGGACAGGGATGGAAAAGCATCACGACTGGCCTGGGGTCACCTCGTGAGTTCCACAGTTCAGGAGGGACGGGAGTGCGGTTCTTTCGAGCCCCTATCGAGCATGGTAACCACTACACAGCACTGCCTCTCCATGTGTTGTTGGTGCGACACCAATGTTAGCTTCACCCCTCCTGCCGTCAACTTGGCATTCCTGCCCACCCACTTTCTTTGCAAAAGCATTATTTATTTATTTATCTTTTGGCTGAGAAGGCCGGGAAACTGGCCATCTCTTCCATTTTTTTGAGAAATAGAATCGGTCCATTTTTCAAGCCACAAAAAACAAACACAAAAGTGTGTGACAATGCATTTGTTCCAGAGTGAGCTGCCCTTGCAGGTCGCTTGTTCTTACAGCAAGCAAAACTCTGGGTGTTGACGACCTCTGGGTCGTGTCCCCCCCTTCCCAGAAAAAGGCCAAAGGAGCCTGAAACCAAGACCTATTTTTTTAAAAAAGAAAAATTAATAATTTTCTCTTTGTGTGCTTCCAGTCGGGCCGAGGAAAGAGGTGGGGCTCTGCCCCCCCCGGGCATCCTGCTCACTCTTTCTCCCCCCCCCCTTGTGTGTCCCCTTGCTGCAGGGAGACAGCGGCGGGCCCCTCATGTGCACCGAGGAGGCCTCCCTGCCCTTCTGGGTCATCGGCGTCACCAGCTGGAGCCGCGGGTGCGGCAAAGCCCGCCGGCCGGGCGTCTACACCGCCACGCAGCCCTTCTACAGCTGGGTGAAGGCGTGGGCCGGCCCCATGCCTCAGTTCCCGCCGGCCCCCCAAACCACCACCTCGGCGGCAACAGAGCCGGTCCCGTCCCTGACCCGCTCAGAGCCTGAGCCCAAACCAGTCGGAGCCCCGCAGGGAAGCCAACGGCACGGTGGCCACCTTCTTCAAGCTGCTCCAGAACTTCCTGCGCCACACGAGGAAGGGGAAAGGAGACGTGTGGCCAAAACTGACGGAGGTGGAACTCATCGAAGAAGTCAACGTGGCTCCTTTGGAGGAGTCGAGCCAGCCCCCGGCCACCGAACGGCCTGCAGAGACACCGACACTGACCAGTCCTTGCAAACAGACAGAAACGCCGAGCGTGACCACGGTGCGCAAGTGCTTGACGGACGCAAATACCCAGAGGGGGGACTCCCAGGGACAGCTGGAATAGGAAACTCGGAAGGAAATAAATGCCTCTTTGTTACTGAGTTTGTTGCCCTTCTCAGCACACCCCCAGGGGGGCTGGGAGGCCCCAGCCCTTCAGCCCCACCACCCGTGGGCTGCCACACTGCAGCCACAGACTTCGTATTCCAGTGTAACAATGAGTTAGGAGATCTTACGTTTGGTTCTAAGAAGAATTTGTCCAACGGCCTCTCCTGGAGCCAAATGCCGCCAGGAAGAGGCAGGGCCGTTGGCCATCAGGAGCTGGTGCGCTCACAAGGTTTGCAGCAGTGAGTTCCACACACACAAAATATAGTATGTTTGATCGATGTGTATGCTTGGGGAGAAGGCAGATTAAAAAAACACAAAAAAACACCCAACCTGCCTACCTTAACAAATGCATATGAAGATACTCTGGACAATGGGAATACTGTGCACCAAAATTACACGCCATCCACTAGAAAAATGCAGTCAGGCTGATGCATGAATGGCCCTGTAGTTTTTTAAAAAAAACTGGACACAAACATGCTGAGCCAGAAGAGTTTCAAGGTGCCAACGGGAAGCCTGGGTGGGTTCTGTGTAACAGTAAGGGCTGAGCCCACTTATTCGGCACCGAGCCATGCAGAAGGAAAAGTGTCTGGCTCTCTGTTGGGGCCTTTCAGCAGCAACACGAGAAGGAGGACATGGTCCGAGTCAGGGGTCCTTGTGGGAGTTTGGTAAGGTTTCGCCAGTAGGATTACTACCCACTCTCACAGTCTGGGAGTTGAAATACCTCTGGGGAGAGAGGACGGTGCATCAAAAGGGTCACTCTGGGAACTCACAGGGGAAGATAGGAGGGCCTGGTGTGCTCTGGTCCATGGGGTCACAAAGAGTCGGACACGACTAAATGAACGAACAAACGGGAACTCACTGCTGAATAGGCTGTCTTGGACACCGCCCAACAAGCCCAAAAAGCAGAGACAAGGCGGGGGGACAGAAGGCCTGTGCAGATCAGAGGAGGGCCCTCGGTCAACCCAGAAGGTGGGAAAACCACTTTTTTGGGGTGGGGGCCTCCTCACAATGCTCCAGCTAGCACGGCCTTCCATTAGAAGATTCTGGGGGACGTCCAAAAAGAAAGGAATAACAAAGATGTTTTCAAGTGAGGGGTTAATACTTTTCTTGGCCTCTGGGTCAAGGGGACAGAAGCAGGTCCCACATCTGGATCCGAACCACACCAGAAAAGGGTTGTAACAGGAGATGGGCCAGAAACTGGAACGCTGCTGTTTGCGTGTTCCTGTGCAGCAGGAACGGGAGGCATCCTGTGGAGAGCCAGGGATGAAAGCTCAATGCAGACTAAAGAGGGTCTCCCTCGGGTGCACCGATTCCGATATGGAATTTCAAAAACAAAAAACCATGTGTCTTTTCTCTCACATACTGAAGTGGAATATGGAGATGAGGTCACAGCCTGTTGGACACCGCCCAACAAGCCCAAAAAGCAGAGACAAGGCGGGGGGGCAGCAGGCCTGTGCAGATCAGAGGAGGGCCCTCGGTCAACCCAGAAGGTGGGAAAACCACTTTTTTTGGGGGGGGGGGCTCCTCACAATGCTCCAGCTAGCACAGCCTTCCATTAGAAGATTCTGGGGGATGTTGTCCAAAAAGAAAGGAATAACAAATATGTTTTCAAGTGAGGGGTTAATACCCTTCTTGGCCTCTGGGTCAAGGGGACAGAAGCAGGTCCCACATCTGGATCCGAACCACACCAGAAAAGGGTTGTAACAGGAGATGGGCCAGAAACTGGAACGCTGCTGTTTGCGTGTTCCTGTGCAGCAGGAACGGGAGGCATCCTGTGGAGAGCCAGGGATGAAAGCTCAATGCAGACTAAAGAGGGTCTCCCTCGGGTGCACCGATTCCGATATGGAATTTCAAAAACAAAAAACCATGTGTCTTTTCTCTCACATACTGAAGTGGAATATGGAGATGAGGTCACAGCCTGGCATCTCAGTATTAAGAGTAGACATTATTTTCTGTTGAACTTTCTGTGGCCACTGCGCAAAAGAAGTTGTTGTTGTTGGGAGCTCAGTTGATAGGGATCGAGGGCATACCCCATTGTTCACTTTCAGAGTACACCTTGTGCAGTAACATCATAGTCTGGAGCATGGGCTATCCAATCTGCAGTCAGCCCCCAAAACAGAAGAGCTCACATCAAGTTGCTAGTCCTCACTCTAACCTGTTCCACAGTGTTGTAACGAGTGTGGGGAAAAATAAACACACAAACACACACACACACACAAATGGAGGCCCTGCAGCAGCTAGAGGCCTCCTGGGGTTCTCCAGATACCTCCACCTCCCAGTGGCTTACTGGCTTCTGAAGAGTTGATTTCCCCTGCTCTAGAAATTGAAATGCATCTCCTTAGTTCCTGGCACGAAACAGAGCTTTACGTTCATATAGGCCACTGGTTCCCCACCTTGGGCAACCCAGGCGTTCTTGGACTGCCATTCCCAGAAGCCTCAACCACCAGCTGTTCTGGGAGCCGCATTCCAAGAACACCTGGGTGAACCAAGGCTGGGAGCTGCTGACCATTTCTGAGCTCCCACTTCTTATGCCCTCGGCCCTGCCCGCCACTGGAAATGGGCTCCCAAGAATGTATCTGAAATGGGATCTGGCTCCCTGGGAGAAAACAGTCCCCACCTGGTTTTTGAATCCTGCATGTGGCCTCCTCTGGATCATCTTCCTCGTTGCCAGAAGAAGCAGGATGATGTGCAACAGGGACCTCTGGTCCAACCCAACTGCCAGGCTCTTCTGAGGCTTTCAGGCAACACATTAGCTACCCCAGGAAGAGCACAAGAATACGTGCCAAAGTTTTCTTTCAATTCTTTTAATATTTTTCTCTCCAGATGGATTCTGCCAACCTCTGCAAAGGCGGGGGGGGGGTCCTCCGACAAGCGGAAGGTGGGAACTTGTGAGCCCACCTCCCACCTGAATCTGCACCATCCGATTCTCAAGGGGAGGAAAGCTGCTCCTCAGCCACCCCACAGGCTGACAACCACCCAGGGCAGCAGAGCTCTTCCCAGCCGGGCTGCCTCCCTCAAGGAGAGCCTCCAGCAGCTGCTTCCGAGCGGGGAGAGCCTCGTGCTCTCCCAGTCCCTGGCAGGAAGGGCACACGCTAGCTACGCAAGGGAGCGGCACCACGCAGCCCCATCCTGTGGCCTCAGGTGGATGGGAGGGCTCCCTCCGGGCGATTCTCCTCCTCCTCCTGGTCAGATGGCTCCTTCTCCTCTTCCTTCTTCTCTAGGTCAAAATTCTACAGGGGGATAGAGAAAGAAGCAGGTGGAGGGTGAGTCTGAAAGGTCAATATGGGATGTTCCATCGAGCACATGCAAAATCCGCATCGTGCAGGGGCCAAACTGCAGTCAAAGAAAGCGTGCTCCCTATATACGGCGCCATAGCGCTCAAAGCACTCTCTGGGCGATTTACAAATTAATTTGCAAGCCACACATCGCACCCCACCCCACCCCACCAGTGAGCTGGGTACTCAATTGACCAAACTTGGAACGATGGAAGGCTGAGTCAGTCTTGAGTTGGCTACCTGAATCTGTTGGGATTGCCCTCGGGTCGTGATCAGAGTCTCGAGTGCAGTGCTGCAGTTTAACCACTGCACCGCCACCTGAGTTCAATGCCGATGAGCTCAGGTAGTCAACTGAAGGTTGACTCAGCCTTCCATCCTTCCGAGGTCAGTAAATGGAGTACCCAGCTCATGGGGAGGTGGGGCGGGGGGAGGCAACGAGCAGTCTGCATAACTGTAAACTGCCTTCCAGAGAGTCCTTCAGCACTATGGATGGTATATATGTTGAAAACCACAATATGGACCAGAAGTCATATAGACACCCTTGCCTCGCCCTGCTCCAGGCGACTGCAACTGGAAAGACCCTGCCCCTTCCTGTTTCCAGCCCTTGTTACAGTCACACAGACCTTGGTCACATAGAGTAGACTACAGTACCGACTCCCAGGCTCTGTCTTGTACTGAGCTCCCAAAAATCTCTTTGGGTATTTCTACTAGTACATAGAATACTTATGGGGAAGCTAACAATTCTGATTGAATAAGACCGGGGGCTGCGCAGTTGCATTTCGTCTCAGTTTAAAAAGTAGGTTCCGATTCTCACAGACGTGGAATTGCCTGGATCTCTGAAGGATGCAAATGTATCTGTTGCTGGTGTTCAGTTGCAGGGGCCCTGCTCTCTGGCTGGCCATGAGAACTCGACAGGATTGTAAGCACCGAGGACAACACCTTTGAAGCAATGCTCTCCCATGTCTGGAATTCCCACCCTGAAGAGCTTCCGATGGCCTTCTCTTAAAGCACTTCAGGCTGAATTTTGCAGCTGGTGGAGCAGTTCATATTCCCACTGTCAGCTATTTAAAAGAAGGTGCTCTGGAATCAGGAGTGGGTGGACCAACCGCCACGAGCACCATTCAAGACAAGGGAAGGAAGGGGGGTATTTGGTGGTTAGCTGCCGGCATTGGCCATTGGAACCAGGAGGTGCTGAGCACCTTGAAAGCCATGTATTAAAAACCAGGTTTCAAGCTCCACCGGAGGATCTCTCAAGGCAAGACTGAGTCCTCCCAGACACAGGGTGTAACGCAGAGGACGAACTCCAGGATGGCTCAGGGGTTCAGGTCTCTGGCTGCAGAGCCAGATGTCGGAAGTTCGATTCCCCCTCCCCACCTCGGGCCACCTTGACTGGAGCTGGACTCAAAGATCCACAAAGGGTCCCTTTGAGCTCTGCAGGTCTAAGATGATGATGATGATGATGATGATGTAGGGGCAACCAGAGCTTGATGAAGTGACCGTGGTGGCTGGGAGGTTCTCGGAGCCGTTTCTGCGTTCCGGTGGTACCTCTTTAGCCCAACAGGCAGGGCCTCTTACCTCCAGCTCCTTCAAGACTTCATCCATAAAATCCCCCGAATTCTGTTTGTAGGCGACGGCCAGTTTGATGGCATCGTTGAAGAGCTGTGGGAGAGGAAGGAGCAAGCCCATCAAGCAGGCAGCGAGACGAACGACAGGTTCTCTTCCCACCTGTCCCTCTGCCTGGGGAGGGATGAGCAGCCGGCCTGCCAGCTCTTACCACTAGGCCACCCTCCCTCTCCCCTCCTCCTCCTCCTGTGGCCAGGAAGTTTGCATCCCCTCGCAGGCCAGAGATTTCCCCCCTACCTTCACCACGTTGGTGCCATCGGCAGCAGACACAAAATAGAAGGGCAGGTGTAGCTTCTTTGGAAAGCTGAAGCTTTTCTGAGTCACCTTCAGGTCAGCATCAATTTTGTTGGCCACCACGATGCAGGGGATCTAGGAAAGGCCAGAGGGAAGAGGAGACAGCTCAGGGAACCATCCTGGGGGTGGTGGGGGGGGAGAAAGCTACCCTCTTTGCACTCACCATTTAGCCTGAGGATGGACATCCTCCATGAGGCACTTCAGTGGGTGACCGTTCAGGCAACAGAACGTTTTTCATCCAAAGACATAGTTCCTTCAAAGCTCCATGCCAGAGCTATGAAACTAACAAAGCCCCTGTTTAACTGCCAGGACCAACCACAATACAAAAAGAACTACACTGAGCTGGAAAAAAGCTTGTGATCAGATACACAGAGAGCTGCTGCCTCTTAAGGAACCCTACTTCTCTGACAGGGCAACTGGACCGCTTAGTGGGGTGGACCCTTCAACCCACCTCTCCCCATCTCTAAGGTCTGCTTTGCCAGGTTTCACCACAGCTTGCCGGCACCCTCCTCTTGCGCAGGGAGGCTCTAGCTCTGGTTTTATAAAAATGCACGCAGGAACAGCATCCGTGCAACAATAATATCTGTATCAGTTTTTAAAAGTTAAAAAGCAATAAAAGCTCGCTTTAAGGATGCTACCGTTCACATGAACTTTGCTGGTGTCTCGGCTTCCAGCCTTTAAAACAGAACACAAGACCTGCCCCGGGAGGTTTGGTCCTGCTCCAGGACATGACTCGGCTGAAAAAGCGCAAAACCTGATTCCCAGCGAGCCACGGGGGGGAGGGGGGCACCTACCATCGATTTTGTTGGCCACCACGATGCAGGGGATCTGGGGGCGGAATTCACGGAGCTCCTTGTACCAGTTGCTCAGGTTCTTGTAGGTCACTTTCCTCTGCACATCAAAGACCTGGGAGGAGAGAAGACACAAAGCCAAGGTGGCTGCACCGGCTTGGAGCATGGCCAGCCTGTGAGGATCGCAACGGAAGCTGTAGGGAAGCAGCAGGCGGGCGCGTGCATCTGGAGGGAATCCCCTGCAGGGCCTGAACGCAGCCGGGTAAGGCCCGTTCAGTGAAAGTGAACGTCGGCGCCCCCCCCTCGACCCCATCCCTGCCCTGGGGAAGTCGGGACAGACAAACCCACGACTGGAAGGGATGGAAGGCCAACGCTCTAAGGCAGCAGCAGAAGCAACAGGAAGTATAGCCTGGCCTACAAGGAGGCTGGAAAGCAACCCACTGGAGTCACCTGCCCAGGACCAGTGCCAAGAACAAAAGACAGGTTTACATCTTCTACGCCAAGCAAGACAGCTTTGTAATAAAAACAGCTGCCTTGGGTCCTTTTAAGGAGAAAGGAGGGATAAAGAATATCTTGAATGAATGAGTGAGCGAGTGGGTGGGTGAGTGAGTAAGAACCCTGTTTGTCCAGGAAAGAGATCAGAAGTGGATATGTCTTCACTTCCTATCTTGATTCTTTAAATGCCACCCTCGGGACCATGTGTCTCCTTCAGGTGGAATTTGCCCACCCTTGCTGTAACACAACTGTTAGGTGCGCCAGGGAGTCTGGATGCCCGAGAAGAGAGCGGAGGGCACCACTCGCTCAGGGGCAGACGGCAACTCTCCACGGCCGCTGGGCTGGAAGCGCTGGTCCTGAGAAGCAGGACAAAAGGTCGAAGGAACGCCTCTGCCTTCAGAGGAAATGGCCGTGGGAGGAAAGGAGGCCGGAGACTAGAACTAAGCCCCTCGGTACGCACTCCTCCGCCACCGGCACCCTTACAGGAAGCAAGAGGGCAAGCAGGGAAGGAGGCTGCTTGATGGGCAATGGCTGGAGGGTCCGACATCCAGTCAGGAGAGAGCTGGCCAGGAAACTGCACTAGGTCAACCTCCCACGGTGGGGCAGGAAGGAGAATCAGAGCGGCTCACAGTTCATGACAGGTATAGGGGGCCCCTCCAGCATAGGCCACACAATTGCCTGCAAACACACAGGGGCCCCTTGGCACATAGAGGGATAAAGGAAGGCTTACGTGACAGAAGCAAGTTGGCTGTACAACGAAGAGCCTGGGTTTGTCGTACAGAACAGGGCACCGTGCAAGTCAAAATACGTACAAATGTGGTAATTGCAGAATGCCTACGTAACAGCTTACCCTGTCTATTTTACCCTGTCTCTGTGTCCCTTGGGGAACAGACAGGGAAGGAGCAGCAATGAGCAAAGCACAGTGCTGAAAACCCTGTTGGCAGAGGGGCTTCCAAGTTCACTGCGGGTTCCAGACCCTTATCCTGAAAGTTTTCGGTTCACATCAAATGGGCTCTGTAATTATACAGCCCAGAAACTTGCATATTTCAAAGCTTAGGAATGCTGGGGTACTTCTAGGTGCGCAAATCCCTACTATAGAACAAACATCATGCTGAAGAATTCTGTCCTGCACAGAGGTTCTACCCTGGTCTGTAGGAAGGCAACACAGGTAGAGAGGGGGAAGGAAAAGCACCCCTACCCACCCACGACCCAAAAGCCAGCCTTGACCTTTCCGCAGGGTCCCCCCTTCCAGAACCGGTGGCCCACCCACTTCCTTACCATGATGCAAGCGTGGGCCTTGTGGTAGTAGGAAGCATGCATGCTCTGGAAGCGCTCCTGCCCAGCTGTGTCCCAGAAGTCTGAAAGGCAGGGAGCCAAGGGTCTTAGCAGAGAAAGCCAGCTCCATGCACAAGTTCGGGTCCTGCTCGGGGCTCTTCCCACCCTGGGCACTCTGCTGGCAACCAAGGGCTCGGAGGCCAGGGCTTCCTGACTGCGACACCGCAGGAGGGTTGGCCTTCCTTCCCAGGTGGGCCAACCTCCTTCCCAACCTCATTCCCGGGCCCACCCGGTCCAAACTCCTGCCCCACCAGCAGCCAACTCTCCTCTGCGGCCAACTCTCAGACGGCCTCCGATTTCCTAGCCACGTCATCCATGGACAGACGTGGCATGTGCCTGTCGCCTTGGGATAAGCCCCTGACCTAAGGAGAGCAGCCTTTCCAAAAGGGCAGGAGGCACAGGCTTGGTGTCGTAGGGGGGAGGGAGACCTGGAGAGCCACAGGGCTGGCAGGCAGCCTCCCCACCACTCACCCACAAGGACGGTCTTGTCATCTACAGTGGCCGTGTATTTGTAGAGCGTCAGAGCAAAAGTCGAGAGCTGCTGGGGTTTGCTGTGGATGAACGTCAAGGAAATTCTGAAAGCCATGAGACTGGGGGAAGAGGTACAGTCAGAGCTGGGGAATAATGGGAAATGACACTGCAAACAAGAGGGAAGAAGGGGCTCAGCGAAACCGCCCAGCAGAGGGTTTCAGGAACCTGGCCATGAATATTCATTCCCCTTCTGCCACCCCGTCAGCGCCCTTTCGTGCTTGGCATCTGGCGGACAAGCAGGGGGGGGCTTTCTCTTCCTCCCACCCGTTTCGGCCCTGACCTGGGTGTGAGGTGGCGATTTTTATGGGGTGGGGGGCAAAGAGGAGAATTTACCAGGAAAGAGGCTTCTCTTAAGCAAATACAGCTGTTTCTTAGAAAAGGAGGTTATAAAACTCTCCGGCGGCAGAAAAATTCACAGTAAATCGGGATGGACATGGAAGTACAGTTTCATCAGAACTGGCGTTTGTGAGAGCTGGCAAAGCATTAAAGGATACAATCCATCCATAAGAAAACGTTCCATTAATCTGAGAAAGAGAGGGAAAGGAGTCTAGTTATTAACTCTCCCATTGTGAAGCACATCTGGAAAAGCAAGAAGCATTCTACCCCATGGATCCTTCCCTAACCCCCCTGGATCGAGTCCAGAAGGTGGTGCTGGGGGACTGTCCTGAACACAGAACCATGAGAGAATCCTTCTGGCTCCACAGTCACAGAAAATTTGTTCTGCATCCAACTAGCACCGTTATTCTTCGTACTTCGCTTTGAAGTCTATTAGGTAACTTCCAGATGGTCCAACAAAAGTCTTTAGCTTCAAGAACGTCACCTCCCCATGTGAACTTGCCTGAGTGTCAGGTCTCCAGGGAAAGCTTTTGTCTCTGTCCCACCCTCTTCACAAGGCACCTTTGTTGAGGGTATGAAGCAGGGCCTTTCCAGCGACTGCTCCCAGGCTCTGTCACACTTTCTAAGGGAGACCAAGCCAGGCCAAGCCTCTTCCCGTTGGTCCTTTCACTGGCAAGTAAAGCCCTCTGGATTCATTCAGGCCTTAACTGCCCTTCCCAAATATTTTAAATAATACTAAGATTTAAGGTCCCTTGGACACTCAAAAAGAAAAGTTGCAGGTTTGTCTTTTCTGTGCAGCAAACTCAGCAATGGGGTCTCGTTCCCCCTTGAAGACTAACCCGAAAAAGTGCCTATGAAAGAGGGGATAAGATTCGTGAATGTGCATGCCTTTAAGTGGCCACCAAAGCCCTGGATTGCCTTTGCTTCTCCCTCAAAAACGGCTGTAGGCACCACCGGAACCGGCCCAGGGTGCCAGGAGCAAGTGTTGGAGGCAGTCAAACAGGGAAAGCCTCTCGCCCCCCCTCCTCTGTTCACTGCCGTCCTGGGGGGCAGCAAAAGACCGGGGGGGGGGCACCGCTGAGATCTGAAGGCCACTCACTTGGACTTGCCCACGGCGCTGTCCCCGAGGCAGATGATCTTCACGTTCTCGTCCGCGTCGTACTTCTCCTGATCCAACTCCGAGCCGGCATCTCCCCCGGACATCTCTTTGGCCATGGCGCTCTGGACGCTGTCGGTGGATGGGGGCAGGATCTGCAAGGAAGGGAGAGAAGAGCCCAGTCGGGTGAGAATCTCGTCCTGTTTCCTTCTTCCCTAAAAATGTATTTGATGCATCTCTGGGGTTGCTTTTGCTTTGAAACGGTTTAAGCTCTGCCTCTTCCTGTGCTGACTTGCATTTTTTTTTAATATTTCAATTTCTGCCTCTGGCCCCTCTCCCCTTCTGCCACTTTTTGTGACGGGTCCCGGGTCCCTAAATGGGGAGGGGGGGGAGAGAAGAATGCTGGGGATAGAAATGAATCCAATAACCCAAGACTGGTGCCCCTTCCCAGATCCAACAGCATCTTCTTTGGCACCTCTGTGGCTTCTTGGGTGAGATTCCCCCCCACCTCCTCACCCGCAAAGATCCAGCTGTCTCCCCTTCTGCCACTTTTTGTGACGGGTCCCGGGTCCCTAAATGGGGAGGGGGGGGAGAGAAGAATGCTGGGGATAGAAATGAATCCAATAACCCAAGACTGGTGCCCCTTCCCAGATCCAACAGCATCTTCTTTGGCACCTCTGTGGCTTCTTGGGTGAGATTCCCCCCCACCTCCTCACCCGCAAAGATCCAGCTGTCTCAGGGCTGCCCTCCCTCCGTCTCGGTTATGACCTATAAATTCCTTAGGACTTTTTTTTACTAGTTGGAACATCTGTCTCAGGAATCACCTACCGATTTCACTCACTCCTGTCAGTCTTTATTACTAAAAGTAGCCATGCCAAAAGAGGCCAAAAGGGCAACAACAAAGAATGGGTCCTTTTCAGTTGTGGCCCCCACTTCCTGGAATAAATTACCAACTGAAATATGCCAGACTCCTTCTCTCCTTATGGTCAGGAAATAAGTGAAAACAGAATTATTCAAAGCTGCCTTCAACAACAGATTTTCTCAGATGCTCTTAATTGCAATGTTAATTTTATTCCTCCCCCCCCCATTACATGAATTTTAGTCCTGTACTTGTGAATCACCATATTGTCGAATGTATTTTGTTATGTGGCATTTTGTGGAGTTTTACGTTTTGTCCTATTAACCGCCCAGTACTTGCACTAATATGGTGGTATGGTCATCAAATAAATAATAAATAGATTTATGAAATTATTCTTGCATTGTTCAGGGGACGTTTCACGAAAGTTCTCTCTTTGATGAAAACTATGTGTCTGTCAATAATTCTGGTCCCGCCCCCCTTTTCCTCCTAGCAGCCAGTTGGGAATTTGCCCCCCCCATAAAAAAGCGGACAGCCCCGGTGGGGAGGGGGTGCCTAGTCTCTAACCCCCCCCCCACAGAGAGAGAGAGAGAATGCACATACACACTAATGCACACACATCTGGAAACATGCACAAAGGTGTAGCTGAGGGGCTGAAGCCTCTGGCTGCTGAGTCAGGGGCTGGGAGTTTGAATCCCCCCTCGGTGCCTCCTTGACTGGGCCTGGATTGGATCATCCCCAGAGCCCCTTCCAGCCCTGCAGGTCTAAGATGATGATGATGATGATGATGATGCACATTGACCACTAGATAGCTCAGGCGTTAAAGGTCTCAGAGGCTGGAAGTTCAGTTCCCCAGCCTGTGTCGCTTTGGGCAAGCGCCCGCCACAGTCCTAGGATTGCCCCAGAGGAGAAAGGAAGGGGGGGATCGCTTCTGTGCATTATCTAGCTAGCTGGAAAACCCAGCAAAGGGTCCCCGTAAGTCAGAATGGACTCGGTGGCACATGATTATTGTATTAAGCACAGTGAGCGAGGTCTCTGGCTGCAGAGCCAGAGGTTGGGAGTTTGATTCCCCCACTGGGTGTCTCCTGGGAGAAGAGCCAGCCTGGCCGGCCTTGGGCAACCTGCCCGGTCCCAGGGTGACCCCAGAAGAAGGGAAGGGTCAATCACTTCTATTGTCTACCTGGAAGACCCTGCAAAGAGTCGCCCGTAAATCAGAATCAAGGCAACCACATGCAATCAATCATATATAACTAATTAAATAAATATGTGCATGCAGGCATCTCTGTGCACCCCTATGACCACTGACTTGCTGGCCTCTCAGCGCTCCCTCCCTCTCTGTCCCCCCCCCCTCACCATGTTGCCTTTCCGATGTGCTTGTTGTTGGTTGACAGGCTGATGCTCCCACAACTCCGGTCAGAGAGTGCTGGGGAGCAGGATGAGAGCCCTCCGGAGTGCTCCACCGCGTGCTTTGCAACTCACTCTTGCCGTCATCAAACCTGATGCCGTGGCTCACCCTCTCTTCCTCCAGGTACGAACCAGGGGCGGGGTGAGGGGAGGGGAGGGTTCTGTGAGGTTGGGCTTCTCTTGGCCGTGCCAGGAAAATTGATTGTGTCCGTTAAACTTCCTATCTTGTTTTTGTTATGCACTGTCAAGTTCTTTCTGACTTACGCTAAATATATGCCGTAATAATCTCTTAAAGACTCTGATTGTTTAGAAAAGAAGACTGAGGGAAGACAGGAGAGCACTTTTGAAATATTTGAAATATTTTGAGATATTTGAAAGGCTGCCCTACAGAGGAGGGGCAGGATCTGTTCTTGATCATCCCAGAATGCAGGATGTGCAACAGTGGGCTCAAGTTATAGGAAGCCAGGTTTAGGCCGAATATCAGGAAAAATTCCTTAACTGTTGGAGCAGTATGACAATGGAACCATTGGTGGTGAGTGCTCCAGTGCTGGAGGCCTTCAAGAGAAACTTTGACAACCACCTGGCAGATAGCCTTTGATTTGGATTTCTGCCTTGAGCAGGGGGTTGGACTTGATGACCTTAAAGGCCCCTTCCAACTCCATGACGGTTCTGTCCACTGTAGGCCAGTGTGGCTCCCTTCACTTTCTGCTCCTACTTTTTGCTGCTTTTGTCCTTTCCCCCTACACAGTTCCGACTCAGAGGGTTTATGTTTTCATTTTCATTTTCTCTTAGGCTGTGCATGAGACCATTGTGAACAACCGGTTCTCGATCGTCAAGAGCAAGGATCTGCAGTGGAGCAGACAGGATAGCCAGCGGTTCTACCAGGAGCATTCCGGTATGATCACAGGCTTCTAACATGATCCCCCTCTGTCCCCTCGCCAACATCCAACGCACACAGTATCTGTATCTCTGTATCTGACCCAGCAGAGGTATTCCAGTTCCACATTCCTGGGAGAAAGCGTTTGGGTCCCATATAGGGAGAGACTTGAAGGACAAAGTACTGTAAATACTTTTTCAGCAGAGGGTGGCCGTTTAAGCAGAGCTCTGCATCTGAGATGTTGGGAAAAGACGTGCTGTCTTTCAAGTGACTAAAATTCACGTTGGTGCATCCAATTTTATGCTGCTCCTCTCAGCAACCCCCAACATCCCTGTCAACTTTATTTGATTTTAGTTTTTGAAATGAACTCATTTCCAAATGCCTTTCAAAACAAGATGGAGCCTCCCCGCCTTGCATCTTCTCTTCCTCTGCAAGGATTTCCAAAAAAGAGAGAAGGAGAGTGTGAGAGAGAGACCATTGGTTTTTTTTCCCCAGTATTGGGAATTGCAGCCTTCAGCTGGCCAGAGGGACGTGCAATGGGTTTACAGATCCCTGGAACATTTCCATCCTTAGTGTAGGGACATTTTTGAAATGTGGCATTTACTCCCTGGCTTCATGCTGTTGGTGGGGGTGGATAGAGGGGCCCAGATTTGCCCTAGACATACGTGATGAGGAGTAGGTGCTTCTTCCTCGTAATTGGTGCTGAGTTTGGAGGATGGCGGCGATCCACCTGCACTGAAACAGTGCCTTGCAAGAGTCACAAAACTGACTGGACAGGCCATTTCCTCTGGTAGCTCATCTGCTCTGTCACATTTCTTGAAGAGTATGTGAGGCAAGAAGGACAGAGAAGATAATAACGAAGGAGAGCAGGTAGAGGGAAGCTCAGAGACTTCCATTAGAAGCATATTTTTTTCCTCTCTCAGAAGCTCTCATGTTTTTTTCCCCTCCAGGCCGATTTTTCTACCAGAGGCTGGTGGAGTTCATGTCTAGGTAAGTCCATGCCATTTTCTGAGATATTCATCCACTCCACCTGCCCGTTGAATGACTGTCACCACGTGGGGGTGGGTTTCAGATTCTGGAGAAAAAGAGGAAAGCAGTAACGATGGCTTCAGCGTATGCAGAGCAAAAGAGGAGCAGTTTTGGTGTGTGATGAATCTCCCATCTTTTCTCTCCAGCGGTCCAATGAGGGCCTACATCTTGGCCCATGAGGAAGCCATCTCGCTCTGGAGATCCCTGATGGGCCCCACCAAAGTCTTCCGTGCCCAGCATACCGCCCCCAAGTCCATCCGTGGGACGTTTGGCCTCACAGACACTCGGAACACTGTGCATGGCTCAGGTGAGTCCCATGAAATAATTGGCCCTCAGGTGGAGCACGGAGAACTTTTTAGCATTTGTGGGTTTTGCTTGAAAAGAGTGCTGGAGGCATCATTCAAGGTGTCCTAGAAAGGAAGGCCCAAAGTCCGCTCACTATTGGTGTAAACAGGTAAGTGCACCTGTATCACATCTGTATTGTAGGGTAAAATCACTTATGGCGGCTTTCCTTATCGTTTACTGACTGGTTCAGGTCTAGATCCCATTTTTGAGTCTGTCAGTCTCACATTAGGTCTTCCTCTTTTCCTGGTACTTTTCACTTAACCTACTACCCCTGTTAGCTTTCTTCATTGTCCAGCTTTCACATCTCTATACGGTAATCAGGAATAATCAAGGTATGGACAATCTGGGCCTGAGTTTCCTGTAACCCATCCTTACTCTTGAGGATCTTTTGCTAATTCCTTCACTGATGCCCTTTTACAGATCAGTCATCTTCTGATTTCTTGGCAGTAGTCTCCATTTGGAGTGATGATGGCACCAAAGTGTACAAGGTCTTTGACCATTCCAGTTTCTTTTTTTGTTGATGTTATAGTTATGTAGTTCTTCTGTAGTCCCAATTCTTGTCTTCTAGAGTGGCCTTTTAGGCCAGATGGGTGGGGTATAAATCAAATAAATAAATAAATAAAATATATAAATAAATAAATAGATGTCCACCTGCAATCCTGCACTTTCTTTCTTTTACCTTAGTTGCAGTCACTGCAAGTCATTGCTGCTTTCTGCCAGTAATATAATGTCATCCGCACATCTTAAATTATGGAGGGTTTTCCACCAATTATTTTCTCCCCCTCCCCCTGGATCTAATCTTGTTTTCTGTATGGTACGTTCTGCCTACAGATTGATCAGACAGGGAGACAAAATAAACCCTTGTCTGAGACTTTGGCCATTTGGAAACCATCCTGTTTGTCCACATTCTGTCCTTACGGTAGCATCTTGTAGGGACTGAAATGTTTGGGTTAAAGTTGGGAAGCTGTAATCAGTGGAAGAGTAACTTTCTGGTGTACAGTGGAGGGAGATGCCAATAAGCCTAGAAGGCTGAAGAAGTGTTAGGAATTAGGATAACAGGGCACAACAGACAAAATCACATGTGCATCATTGAGGTGAATGGGAATACCACCTTGTGCCATTTAAGGGATTTGCTAACAGATACTTGCCTGGGATTATAGGACTCAGTGGGACTTCTGAGCAGTGATCGTTTGTTAGCAGCTGAAAGCAGCAGCTCTGAAATAGACGGCTGAGATTAAATGCTGCCTCATCGTGTTCAGAAAGAGTGAACTCTCTTTATTGCCAAGTTAGACAGCTGAGATTAAATGCTGCCTCATCCTGTTGAGAAAGAGTGAACTCTCTTTATTGCCAAGTGAGCCATAAGGCCAGGCTGGCCCCACCTTTACCATCCTTCCACCAGCCGACAAAGACCTGGTTCCTTCAAGAGAAAGATGGCATATAAATATTGAGGCCAGGCTGGCCCCACCTTTACCGTCCTTCCACCAGCCAACAAAGACCTGAAGTGCTGTAAGCCACCTTGGTTTCTTCAAGAGAAAGATGGCATATAAATATTTGAGACAGACAGACAGACTGTCACTGACTGACTGACTGACTCACTCCTCCCTCGAAGGGAAATAAAAAGGAGCTCCTTCAACAAGGAGAGGCTGTGGTTTCCCATTGAGCGACGCTCCCCAGCTTCTCCGGCATAGGCCCCCTCTTGCAAGGTCCAGGTTTTGACATAATTTAGAGCAGTGCCCCTCAGTCTCTGCCTCCCACCCCAGCAACTCCCAGAATACCCTCCGATGGCCTTTGCTGGCTGGGGCTTCTGAGAGCTGAGGTTGGAAAAACATCTGAAACACCAGGTGCTGAGAACCAGCAGTATTCCTGCAGGGTTGTAAGCAGCTGGAGGAAGAAAGAGGTGAAAAGACAGAGACAGCTCTCTGTGGAACCACATAAAGTCTTAGCCATGGGCTTGGGCAGGAAGCTGTACAGATATTGGTGTCCTAGCTACCCTCTGCCTCCTGGGCCCAGCCCTCTCAGATTTCGGATCCCTTCTGACCACCAATTTTCATGTGGGGAGTCTCAGAATACTGAATTAAGTGCAGGTCCTAAATCCTTCCATGCGTCCTGGACTCGTCATGGGCCCGTTGTTGTTTATTGTTATTTTTCTTACCTTTTTGCCCACCTTTTTTCTCATTTGCTGATGCTTCTGGCTCCCTTCCTTCCCACTTCTCCCCTTTTCTCCCCTCTCCTGCTCTGCAGACTCAGCAGAATCAGCCAGCAGGGAAATTGCTTTTTTCTTCCCGGAGTTCAGTGAAGAGGACTGGTATCGCCACGAGGAGCCACAGCTGCGTGCTTGCAACGGCTCCAAATCAGAAGTTGACTGTTGACCAAGCTTCTATAGGTGCCTAACGGGAGGCAGGTCGAACTCACAGAGAAACCTACAGGACCATATCCACAGATGGCTGGCGGGAGGTGGCTTCTTACCAGCCACGAAACGTGGCACAGCCCGTCTGCTCTGAGATCACAGCGATACGCCTTTCAGGGTGGACTAGGGGACAGGCCTGTTTGGCCACTGCCTTCCCAAGTTACTGCTAGCCCAGGCTGGGTAAAAGAAGCATGATTTTGTGGGCTACACAGAGCGCAGTTCTGCGTGGACTTAACAATGACATTTTGGCCCTTGCCTTTTCCATAGGCTTCTGCCAAAGAGTGTGTCCGCGCACAGGCACGGCCATTGGTACTATCCTCTATCCACTACCCTCACTACGACCCACAGAACCATTTACAGGACAGAGGAGGGTGGGCCTAGTAGTGTGCGGTCACTGCTGGAAGGGGAGGTGCCCTCTGGCTGACGGTGGACCCAACATCTTGACTCTTTTAAGAGCGATAAACCTACCCTCTAATCCATAATGTGTGTCAGCGCATTGCTTTCTTAGTCATGTTGAGAGCAAATTCTCTTCGTACCTGGGGAGGGCTCTTGGCTTTGTGATCCACAATCGGCAGCTTGCGCTGAGAACAAGCGCTAGGGTTGAATCAGGCCAAGGGTTGCCACAGTCACACATGGGGCTGGTACATGGAGTTGGAAGGGGCCTATAGGGTCATTTGAGTCCAACCCCCTGCTCAAGGCAGGAATCCAGACCAAAGCAGATTTGACAGAAGGTTCTCCCATTGTCTCTTGAACGCCTCCAGCATTGGAGTGCTCACTACCTCCCCCTGAGGTCATGGGTTCTGTTGTACTGCTCTAACATTCAGACATATTTCCTGATCATGGTTCCCTCTAATGTGTGTGTCTGCACATGCACACACACAACTCTGCTCCCCTCTGCGCAGGGCTTCTCCTCCATGTACCCACAGTGATTGTTTTCAGCCCCTTTAGTTCTGGTCGTGACGGAACCCCATGGGCAGTGGTGGTACACGCACAAGGGTCGGAGCCTCACCCAGTGGGGCTGAAAATTAAAGAGAACATTGTTTCTGGTATTTAACCTAAATCTGTCTTCCGGTAGCTAGAGCCCATTATTACATGTCCTGCACTTGGATGATCAAGAACAGATCCTGCCCGTCCTCTGTAGGATAGCCTTTCAACTAGAAGCCAACATGCCAAACTAATTTGATCTCGTTTTTTGATCAGGTCACCTCCCTGATAGACAGAGGGAATGCTGTAGATGTAGCATATCTTGACTTCAGCAAAGCTTTTGACCAAGTGCCCCATGATACCCTGATTAGCAAGTTAACTAGGTGTGGGCTGGATAGGTCAAGGGGATATACAGTTGGCTACAGAATCATACTCAAGAGGGTGATGATGATTAAATGGCTCCTTCTCTAACTGGGAGGAGATGACAAGTGGGGCACCTCAAGGCTCAGTCCTGGGCTGGGTGCTCTTCAATATTTTTATTAATGACTTGGATCAGGGAGTGCAGGGAATGCTTGTCAAACTTGCAGATGATACAAAATTGTGTGGAATACCTAATATGCTAGAAGACAGAAACAAAATTCAAAATGACCTTGATAGGATGGAGCACTTGGCTGAAAGCAACAGAATGAAATTCAGCAGGGATAATCTTGGAGTTGCCGTAGATCACAAGCTAAATATGAGCCAACCGTGTGATATGGCTACAAAACAGGCAAATGCTATGTTAGGCTTCATTAATAGAAGTATTGTTTCCAAATCCCGCAAGGTGCTAGTCCCTTTCTATTCAACACTGGTTAGGCCTCACCTTGAGTCTTGTGTCCTTAGAGCAGGCTAAGAGAATCCAGGCTTCCCTTTGCAAAGATGGCAGCTGCAGCTTCCCTACCCTAAGTGAAGCTGCAGCTGCCCTCTTTGCAAAGGGAATCCAGTCTCCCTTCTTACATGCATGGCTGGGAGGCCAGGAGACCTTGGCAGCAGCGATTAAGGTAAAGGGGTGGGGAGGGGGGCTAAGGG